GCGAAGTGGGTGGGAAGGGATAAAATGGGAGTTCAAGATTTGCAGATACTAACTACTATATATCAAATAGACAAACAGCAAGTTTCTACTGCATAGCACAGGGAACTATATTCAGTATCTCGCAGTAACCTATAACGAAAAAGAATATGAAAAGGAATCTATGTATGTACGTGTATGACTGAAACATGATGCTGTGCACCAGAAATTGACACCACATTGTAAACTGACTATACTTCAATTAAAAAAAAAAGAAAGGAATACCGTCTATTAAAGAAAGGAAATACACAGACTCCTCTACCTTCCACCGGACAGAAAAGCTGACACCCTCAGCTCTTAAATCAATCTTTTCCAATAGTGCGCTGGTTAAAATCCCGCACTGAAACTGACTTAAAGGTGGCAGAGTCACTCACACCCAACAGTTCACTCATCTTTATAACGTCTGTGAGCAGACACCGGTGACGGTCATCCCCCGTCTCTACAGAAAGGCGCGTTAAACATGGCTGGCCAACTAGCCGCTGAAGGTTATGGAGCCAGAAATCCGAACCAGGTCCCAGGGCTCGGCTCTGCAGGCTAGAAAGGTACCCGCGGGCTCTACCTTGTTCTGCTCCACCTGACTCTTCACGGCTTCGGCATCCGTGGGTGCGGGTGCCTGGTGCCACTTTGCTGCGGTTCTGTTCATCTCGTGCAGCCACTGCATCATCGCGCTCGAGTCTTCCTGCGCCTTCTGCAGTCTGGAGAGCTTGGTACTCAGCTCGGCTATTTTGTCCTTAAGTAAGAGGCCAAGATCTTCGTAGCCATGGCTTATGTCTGTCATGTCCTTTTTAATGGATGTTAATCCTAAACGTAAGAAAAAAAAATCACACGGACACATTTTCAGGGCATTGGGAGGAGAGCTCTAGAAATAGAAATTTGCTTTCTATGATGTTGCCTTCTGTTTTGTCCATATTAAGCCTACTAGGAGAAAGTCAGAGACTTTTTGGAATGAAAATGTGACATCATCTTCCAGTGCTATGTAACGGCAAATCATTTAGGGACACTGCATCATACAGGTGAAGGGAGACAGATACTTCAAATGGAACAACACACTCAAACAGTGAAATGTTACTTATTAATTCCTCAGGCATCAAATTCAAGAAAAAATAGCCCAAATCATGTTATCCCAAGGGACAAAATATCTCAAGTTAACCAAAAAGAGGAAAACATAACCAAATGCCAAACTGAATGACTAGATCTCACTAATTTCAGATGAACAAAATAGCATGGAATAAATACATTACTGATGGACCACAAGATCATACCAGTATCATTTTAACTCAAGCCTGAAATTTCGATATAACTACTGTTCATCCCACAAAGGATTTCCTCTTGGAAGAAACCAAACCACATTATTTTAATCAATAGGCATTTAATTTAATTTAATTTAATTTAATTCAATCAGTAAGTTGCTCTTTACCTTTATTTGCCAAAATTTCCTGAGTATCTGTGGCTGTTGCTTCACCATTTACTATCACTCCACCTGCAAAAATATTAACACTGAAGTCATATAGGTTCCTGCATGTCTACACAATAGCAGGCGGTGTTAAATCAAACCCCATACACAATCCTTTACAACTGTCATTACTAGTTGAAAATGCAAAGTATTGATTCAATTTCAAAATCACAGGAAGGTCTAAAATGTAAAGACCAAGCTATATCCTCTCTTCTATATAAAATTTATTCTTTAATTGATTACCTGATCAACATCAACACGAGTGTTTCGGTAAATTTAGATGATTACTTTGATCATTAAATATTAATTTAGAAGACAATTTTATGATAAAGTTATTTCAACGCTCAAGTAATTTTAGGGGTAAGTTCCTGGTCGCTACATGTGTTGCATGAAACACGAATGCCAGACGCATACACGAACGTTTGTCTTGGAAGGAACTAAAGATTGTTTGCTGCAGTTACACTGTGTGATCATGGGTTTACCAGAGGTGGAGTGATGTGAAAAAACATGAAAGAGAAGTTGAAAGTGAAGAAAAAACAAAAGCCTACAGTGTGTACACACAGGGAGAGGAGGTACAGTGGCTGGGGGCCCCGGGCTCTGGTGCACGACTCGCCTGAACTTAAATCCCAGCCCCACTCATCACTCCCCCGGCGCCGGGACAGGCTCATCACCGCCCCACCAAACTGATCAAGATATTAATACCCATCTCGGGAGACCACGGTGGGAATTAGAGACAGTTACCCTCTTGCCTAACAAACAGGACTGCTCAGTGAGCAGCAGTCATTATTATTTCTCTTTAATTATATACACAGCTGTACACCAGAAACTGATGCACTGCAACTGACTATACTTCAATAAAAAAAATTATATACACATCCAGTACTGGTACCCTTTTCATAATCAGAATATTAAAGAATCAATTAGCCCTTCTCCTGTTGGTACACATTGGTTCCCTACCAAGACTCAAAGACATTTCTGTAAACTGACCACAGAAAAATAGGTCTAAACAAACAAAAACACTGAAATATCTGAATCTTAACCTAAGTTTGGTCCCTTCCAAAAAAAAAAAAAATCGCACACAATGGCATTTTGGATGGAAGTGAAAATATCCTTGTAGAGGCTCAGGATTGGTTCCTACCATGCTTGGGAGTTGTCAGGAGCTGGAAAAAACACGTTTTACTTATTATAAATATAAAGTGGGCACAAAGAATGAATATGAAAAATGCTAGAATTCCTTCCCTTTTCTTAAAAAAAGACTTGACATTTCAGGAAATCTGATTAGGAACGAAAGAAGAGACCATCTTCCACATATGCTATGAGGGTGCCCTGAAAAGGGATTAACAGAGCGGAATAAATGGTGGCTTGCGAGGGGTCCAGCTGGACCGTCGGTCTCACAATAGGGCCAGCTGGGGGCTGGGCAGAGTAGATCAGCCACAGACGGACGAGCCTCAGAAACTCTCAGAGCAAAGACATGGGATCTGCCTCCTGCCAATTCTTGGGATTATTTTAAACCTAATATAATAATATAAACATGCTTGAAACTTTAACCTCTATCCACAACTTCAATTAATTTTAGAACCATTATCTATACGTGACTCCCCTTCTGGTGAGACGTGTGGTTCAGAGATAAGACTGTGATTCAGACGTGTTGGGGAACACGCGTTAAAACTACTTTCTCTGGGAACCGTGCAAGGAATAAAGAAGATGCAAACAAATTAAGAAAGGTCCACCTGACAGAAAGGAACCTGCTTCCTTCCCTCAATGCCTTCCTCCCCAGGAGCCAAGCCTCATTTCTTTAGCAAATATTTGACACAGAATTTCTGTATCTCCATCAATCAAGGTAAAAAGAGACAAACAGGAATCTGACCTTTCCCCTTCCCCAGTATAATGCTCCTGATTCTTACCCACTAATCTGGCTAACACTTTAAATTGTAGTCTTTAAGAAGACGAAACATAAATGACCTGAAATCTGACCAGCACACATACTCCTCCAGGGCAGCTTTTAGAGTGTTTGTAGATGTCACTTTCCCTTGGGCTCTCTGAGGTCACGTATGCATTCATTTAAAAAAAATAACACACACAACTAAAATCAACGTGGGCGGGCCCAATTCTTACAGGTTTTGCCGTGAATGTCAACAAAGCACATACCTGATTTAACTGCGGCCAGGGCCTTTGCAGGGGTAGTCACAGCACTTATTAGGTTACATAGTGAGGTCCCACTGTGGCTGACTTTCTGGATCTCTGGTGTTTTTAAGCTCCACTTTTCTTGTAATTTCTTGAGATATAAAAACACATTATCTTTCAGTCTTTGTAACAGTTTCCAAGTTACACATTAGAATTCAGTTTCTTAAACATATCTTAAAACAGCGCTGATTGTGGGTCCTGACTGATGCGGGAGTGGATGGAAGAAAAGGGCACCATGCCCATTTGTTCCAACAGCCCAGGTGACTGTTAGCACTGTTGGCAGTGAGGAGCGGGGTGGGGGGGTCCATCCTGCATTCTGCTCCAGCCACAGTGGAAGCCAGGCTCGTCCCAGCAGCCATGAGTTCCAAAGTAACTGTCAACTGAAAGTCTGCAAGACCGTCCCAGGTGACAGCCAAGCTATTAAAAGAAACGGACTAGAAATAATTTTTAAAAAAAGAAAATTCAGAATTCCACTTAATAATGAATTTTAACCATCAAAATTACAACAAATTTTAAAAAACACACAACTCCATCAATTCAGAGTGGAAAGGCTGCCGTAACTGGTGTTAAGTCTTTGTGACTTGAGTCAGATGACAAAAGATTCGTCCGCAATTTTACTAGAGATTCAAATAACTCTCATCTTCAAATCCTGGGTACAGTGTGATACATCCAAGCTGGAATAAAAGGCTCCACTGAAGAGAAGGATCTTTTTTAATACTATGAGAAACAGTATTAAAAAATAACTGAAACTAAGTAGAGATGTGGTAGGGGAAGAAACTTGGATGCCAGAACAATCAGCAATATAACTCTTTAAAAAAAAAAAAAAGCAAATTAACTGAAACTGTGTGTCCCTCCTCAAAAGGGTCAGTTAAGCCCGTGTCATGATTTCCATCTCTCACCAGAATACACTGATACATACATGAGGATTGAACATATGCAATATCAGATAAAAGGAAATCTCTCATTACTAACACAGGCAAACGAGGAACTGGCATGAGATACAGACACTCACCTTCGTTTCCTCCAAAGATTTCTCTAAATCCTCTGCCCCAAAAGATGGCTGCACCATGGGAACGCTTTCTGTGGTTTCCTTTATCCAGGACTTCAATGATTTAACGAGGACTTGAAAGGTGTTCATCTGCTCTTGACAAGAAGACACAGCTTCTTTTCTAGATCACAAAAATCATTGACGAAGTTAAGCCCCGAAAGGAGATACTGCAAAGGACTGACTACTAGTAAATAAACTATTATTATTCCCCTATTAGCCTTAATAGTACAAAAAAAAATCTCCCCCATGCACACTGCCACCCTCGGATACTGGAGGAAAGCTTTCAACAGGTGGCAGGTGGAGTCAGCTCAGCAGCTCCCTGTCTACTCCTCAGGTAACGTCTGCAGGTAAAACTGCACGTGGGAAATCTATAACCCGTACGTAAAGGCACTCTGTAACACTACAGAAACCCTAAGGCCGCCGTATTAACAGTTTTAACATTATTTAGATTCAGTGAGCTTTGATCTGTCCAATTTACAGGATGCTTAATGCTTCACAGCAGGCACAGAACCAGGAGGGAAACACAGCGCCACCTAGTGGTGTCTACACAACACTACAGGCACTTTAGCGGATGGGTCAACAGGGTGCCTTGGAGAAGACAGGTGTTAAGTCTCCAAGAAGGAGGTGAGAGCTAGCGATGTGGGATCTGAATGGATGCCTCCCCCATGGATACTCAGAAAGCTAGCTCCACGGTGAACTATGCGGATCTCTCTGTACGCTCAGCACCATGGAGGAAGGGCACACGCCCAGCACACGAACCGCTCTGAGGACAGTCAGGCGTGGTACCTGGCGGACACAGGTGGATGACCTGTGGATGGGGCACGACACGTGGATGGCACGTGCGAGTGTGTGGGATGTTGGCACCTGAGAGTCACTGAACTAAGCACTGATGGTGACTCTTCCCCAGGAAAACCAAGGACATCTCTTTCACACAATGTGAGCTAAGTACAATGGAAGCTCTGGCTCTGAGGGTGCAGACAACACCCAGAGATCCAGGCAGAGAATTCTGAAGAAACGAAGAATAGCAGAAAGACAAAGCACAAGTTTCTATCTCTTGGGGCCTTCTTATAAACTTCAGCAAAACCAGATATACATTCTAAAAGCACATGAGGTCAGAAATGTAACAGCTCAGTCACCAGGCTCACGTCCCTGGATAGCTGTTTAGCTCAACTGAGGTTCATTCTCTTGTTTCTTATCTTGTTTGTTCATGGCATCATGTCTTACCTACAACTCTTTCAAAAGTAAACTATTTTTTTTAAATGTTAAAAAAAAAAGAAAACTGTTTTACAAAAAAAAAAGCCATCCAGAACTATACTGGAATCTTGCATTGTTTCTCAACTGAGCCCAGAAAACAACGAACCGCAGGCTATATTTCTGCCTTCGCAAATAAAAATGTAATTGCCAAAGGCTTCAGACCACAGTGAGTTTAGATTAGTTTCAGGAAAACAATACGACAGCCACTGTTTAACATAATGCTTTCCATTTTCATGTAAGAAGTATTGAATTCCCTTCCTAAATGTTTTAACAAAAATATACTTCATTTTAACAGCAAACAAATTATCAATATAAAAGCACTTATTAAGTAGCCCTAAGCTTATTCTCAAGTTTCAGAATTGCTTCCAGTATCTACAGAAGTAAACCCCAGTCACTCATGCTCATTAGCGTCAAGCAGAACACAATCCAGTTCCTTCAATGGTGCTTACTTTTCTCTGACAGCGTCCTCCATTTCCTTGAATTTCTTTGACAGATTATTCGTTTTTTCAAAAACCAGAGCCTTATCGCCCGGCAAACCATGCCTGGAGATCTCCTTCAAGAGATTCTGCAAAACTTCTAGATCTTTCTTACGTTCCAGCAACTCAGAAGCTGATTCCTACAAAGCATGTAGATATTTCATTAATGCAGTATGTTGTGAGATCTTTAAATGGCATCGCGTGGAGATGTATGTCTGGGACCAGAGCAGTTCTACTCAGAGTTTCACAGAACGATCCTACCTGGGGTCCGTCCTTGAAATATAAACAGGCAGGCTCTTTGAAAAAGAACACTGTAAACTTTACTAAATTTAAAAAAGCTCTCTTAACAATTCTGTCCCTTTGGGGGTTCTGGCACGTGAGGGACGCACATTATCTATGATTTGCAGAAAATGGGAGACGCTCATTTCTAACCAAGCTTTCAAGGAGAAGGTGGGCTTCGAAGTTTTTAAAGGAGGAAAGCAGAGATCTTTATTATTTCATCAGCAATTAAAAAGATGCTTATTAATTATAATTCTGCCAATAAAAGCAAATATGAGCTTGTCTTAGCTGCTAATGTATCCGATCAGCCTTGCGAATCCCACGGAAGACATACCTGCATATACTGGGACAATTCAGTTACGTCCTTCCCCGGCACGTCCGCCTCTGTGAGAGCCTGGGGTTTTGTTTCTAAGAACGTTTGGAGCTTTTCGGAGAGGTTCTCAAACAGCTCTACTTTGGTTTTCAGTTCCTCCATTTTGGCAAGCTTTTCTTTGTGTTTGTGACTTGCTTCTGAGAACCGACGGGACAAGTCCTTCATCCTGGCTTGGAGCGAGGACGCAGTGGACGGGTCTGCGGTCTCCGTGAACGTCTTCACTTTCTCATTCATGGCATTTATGCTGCTCTGCCGACCCGCTATGTCCTGCTCCAGCATCTGCAATGAACCAGACACCCAGCGTGTTTTATACCATAAAGAGGGTTTCAGATACCATCACACCCAGAGTGTTAAAAATTACTCTTTGTAACCACAAAAGCTTGAAGCATCTGAGACTGAGGAAGCTAAGGGTTGGGACTGACCGACAAGGCTGACCTGTCCCCAGAGGAATCCCATCCCCGGTCCCCGCAGGAGAGCGGGGACCAGCTGGCCCGCTGCCTGGGCGAGGCAGAAGGTGGCCGCCACGCAGCGACCCTGGGGATCTCCTGGGGCCCAGGGATTAGCCACGGTCCTGATTTTTAAAAGGCTGGACAACAAGAAGACTGATCTGATTAACGTCTGTGCAGCTGGCAGAAGCCACGTCGAACAAGACAGGAGGCAGTGAGCGGTGACACTGTCTGCGATGAGTGAATGATATTCATGAAAAGTACACGCAGGCCCTCCGGGTGCCTTCATAGAAAATTGCTCCACACGCTCGGCCCTGGCCAAGCACCCCTTTCCATGCTGTTATATTCCGGAAACATCTCTTTACATCTTAAATTTAGCCTAAATTTACCCAAAATTGGAGCTTATTAAGCTGGGTTTTTTTTCCCATCTGTAAAGTTTTTTTTTAAGTCACTTACGATGTTTTTACTGATGATGTCCTGCAGAGCGGTGGAGTTCAGAGGCACCTGGCCCTGCTCCCCCAGGGAGCGCTCCACACCCCCCATCCAGTCCAGCATCTCGTCCAGGCCGTCCTGCACACTCAGGGAGCGCGTCAGGGTCATCTGCAGTTTTTCATTTCGTTCACCAACAGACTTGGCCAGGTCATCGTATCTGCCAACAATGTCACCTGGTCCAAAAGGATGGGGGATGTTAACATCGAGTCCTCCCTGCCCTGTTCCTTTCAAAACACGCTAACGGGAATCACAAAATTCCCAGGCTAAAAGTGGAAAAGAAAGAGCGTTTAAATGATATGTGCATCATGCACCATCAGAGCACCACCAACACCTGAAAAAAGAAAGAAAGAAAAGGGGAAGAGGGTATAGCTCAGTGGTAGAGCGTGTGC